TTTTACCCTCCCTGTTGCAGCAAACCTAGGTACTCGTTAAACTTTTATTTAAATATGGAATAATGTGATATTTCTAAGGGGACATTTTAGTGTAAATCCAATCAGGGAAATGGAAATTCGCCTAGTCTGCAGGTTTGCTGTGGCGGGGGTATTTTTAAGTGTGTTTCAGTTTGTTATCATGAATAAATAGTTAAAATTATCGTAATATGGGTTGTTTCCATGGAAACCTAATGTAAAACGGCAGCATTTAGCAATGTTTTTAATTTTTTGTAGCTCTGGCCTTTTTTAGTGTGCTCTAGTGGCGAAACGGTTCGTCGTAGAAACAAACATTATATAGGAAACTTGTAGTAAATTTTGTCATCTTTAATTTTACAAAGCAGGATTTTCTCAAAAACCCATACTTACCGAGATTTGCCCGAAAAACCAAAAAAAGTGCCCAAATTTTAAGGTTTTTCACAAAATAACCAATGTTCCGGGCAAAATATCTGTCAGCAAACCTCATATTCGTGTTCAGCGACCCAAAAAACATAAAGAATAGTGATGATTAGGACTGTACCTAAACTTTCCGCTAACTGCCACTTACATTCCTAATATGCCTAGCCTATTTAGGTGTTTTAAAAATCAAACATTTATATAGTACACTTCAACTGGCGGATGGAAATTGTAAGTAATAAAGAGTGTCTATTTAGTTAAAGAGTGTTCTACCACTATTTTAAGTTATATTTTTTCTTAAATTTGTTTTGAACAAATTAGTTTGGGGAGATGTACAAATTGTTGGTTGAAATTAAATTTATTAGTGTTTAGTTTTGATATTTACGAAATATTTATCTCTTAGGTTTAATTTTACAGTGAGCTATTTTCTATGGTTATAATACCAGAGAGTAGGTAAGCATTAGATTGTAATGAGATCTTTGTATTCTATCTAATAAGATTTAAGTTTATAAAATAACTTATTCGCCGGAAATTAACTATTCCAATTTTATGTTGTTTTACTCTGATACACAAATTTGAAGAATTTATTATAGAGTACCTACATACTATTCTGTTATTGCTATTCTATGAAACAGTTTTATTATTCTGTTTATTTTGCTTGATTTGTGTAATCTAATAAAACTGAATGTATAATGTAATCTAGATAATACAATGGTCACAGCAAGATAGTCAAATCTAGGTCTTCAAGTGATGGCCGAATGAGTATAGACCGACATTTTGGATGCGTAGCAGCTATCCATCTTCAAGACAAACTACTATTAAGCTCTTCAGTTGAGTAGTACCGGTAGTTCACCAAAAAAATACCCGCCATTTTGGCTAGGGCTGAGATGTCCACCTCGGGTTTGCGACATTGTGTTTCTTTTGACAAATCGTTCAAATTGAGGGATCACTCAATAGGGGTTGCTATTTGAAAAAATAAGTCAACCTCAACCCCCTACCCTGTTAGGGGGGTTAAAATATATTTTTGATGTAAAAAATTACGGTACCTTTGTTAACAATCAACGCCAAAAACAGAATATTTCTATCTATTTCGGTTCAAAAATACAGATTTGTTTCAAGACTTAATTTACACATTGTATTTACCATCTAGTAAATGTTTACAGTATAGTTTGGATATATCAATACTGGAAGATGTTTTTTTTATTATATTCAAGTTAAGTGAACAAACACAATGGTCTTATCTTTGTACTTTGTACATTCAAGATATTATGAATAAAGAAAGAATTTGAATTTGTAGTCTAAAACAGGTAGAAGATAGTCTAGGTAGGTGAGGGGTAATTGCACTAAGTAAACATTGTTGTAAAATGAGTCATTTTTTATGTTATAGATGACAGTAGTAGTTAATATATCAATAACATATGGTAATTGTTCAACATATGTTTTGTGTGTTATTGTTTATATTTGGATTGAGTTTTTGTTAAAATAGAAATACACAACCTTTCATGAATTCTGTACAATTATTTAATAATTAATCTAATGACATGGTGCCGAAACCCACACGGAATAGAAATAAAAGGTATGAATTTAAGGAAGATGACGATATCCATACAAACCATCCAGAAGACAAGGATAATAATGTAAAGCCACCAAAATGTCTTGTGGTTTCAAGTACTCAGATGGCTCCTTCTTGGAAGAAATGGAAGCAACAGTGGAACTGGTACTACACAGCTTCTGGCCTTGATAGGAAATCTAATGCAGTACAGGTAGCATCATTTATATCTAGTTTAGGCCCAGATGTTATAGATATATATAACAGTTTTGGTTTCATGGATGATGAAGATATTGAATTAGATGAAGTTGTTCAACGATTTGATAAGTTTTTTGTTGGTAAATCTAATGAAGTGTTTGAAAGATTTTTGTTCAACAAAATTACACAAGAAACCCATCAAAGTTTTGAAGATTTTTTTACAAAATTGGTTAACCAAGCTAATTCTTGTAATTTTGAGCAACTAAAAAACAGTTTGATTAGAGATAGAATAGTAATTGGCATATCAGAATCTAGCTTAAGGGAAAAGTTACTTTCTACTGAGAACCTTACCTTAGATAATGCAATTAGTAAGTGTAGGGCACATGAACAAGCTAAGAAACAGCTAGCAGAAATATCCTCTGACAGCCCTAGAAATGTTAATGTTGTTAAAAGGGATGATTCCTTTTCTAGGCCTACGTTACAAAATTCAGTCTTTGACTGTAAACGTTGTGGTTTACAACACTCTAGAGGCCAATGTCCAGCTTTTAATCGAACTTGCAATCAATGTTTGACTAAAGGTCATTTTGCTAAGATGTGTAAAACTCGAAAGAATCTCCCTAGTAAAAGTAAACATACTGATGTTTTAGAGGTTGTAGAGAATGAAGATTCTGATTATCCGTTGCATGTTGATTGCATCTCTAACCCAGTCAAGAATCAAGATTGGACAGAATTATTGGAATTGCCAAATAACAAAACTGTGCAGTTTAAATTAGACACTGGGGCTCAGTGCAATGTTATTTCCCATGATTTGGCACTAGCTTGTAATCTGAACATTGTACCTTCTGCAACTAAATGCCTTGTTTCTTTTAACAACCACCTTATTCCGATGGTCATAAAGAATGTTTCAAAACAGCTAGAAAAAATTAAAAGACGAGAGAAGCTGTACGGTGATGTGAGGAAAACAGAGCCTGATCAATTTAAACTCGATGAACCAGTGCTCTTTAGATTCAAACCAAAGTGTTGGCTGAGGGCAAAGATTGTTCAAGTTGGTCCTGAACCTCGATCGTACAAAATCCAGACTGGTGATGGACGAGAATACCGAAGGAACTCATGGTTCCTAAGAAGAGACAAGTCATTCAGAATCTCCCATGATGTGAATAAAGGTAAATTGTCCAGGTCAGAATTACATAACAATGATTCAACTCCTGTTGTAAGACGAGGGGAAAGGATTAGAAGAAAACCAAATCAATTTGACTTGTGAAGGAGGGATGACAGTAGTAGTTAATATATCAATAACATATGGTAATTGTTCAACATATGTTTTGTGTGTTATTGTTTATATTTGGATTGAGTTTTTGTTAAAATAGAAATACACAACCTTTCATGAATTCTGTACAATTATTTAATAATTAATCTAATGACAATAGATAGACACCAATGGCATTTTAAAACTTTTTTTGCAATATTCAATAGGTATTGAATATTATGTGCTCAATGGTCTTCTCTGTCTCTTAGTATCAACATATACTCTTTGTTCATTCAATTAGTCGTCAGTATAGTAGCTTTATGTTGGTAAAATAATGTTTTTTCTCATCTCTTCCTCTTCAAAAGGCAGAGTGTAAATGGAAGATGGCAGATTCATGGGTTAAATGTGAAAGTACTTCAAGTAAAGTGTTGTGTGGAAGACCTCCTAACGAAAGTGAGAATATATTCAGCTTCAAGTTATTATTCTACAGCTACGGAGAATTCTCTCTACCCTCTCCTGGAGAAGATTCATACCTCATTTAAGACTGTCTCCCTTTTGTGTGCTTCTCATCTACTACGCTTCAGTCTAATGCTAGACATCTTCACCATATCAACTCACTCAAATGTCAAGTAACTATGTGTTTACTAATTTAGTTTATTGGTAATACCATAGACAAATAGAATGAATATAGAATGTCAAAGGAAGGTTCCGCAATGTGTCGCTCATTGTTCGATTTGCTGCCGTATGCTACCAGGAGACGTTGCAGCAGTGTGCAACGTAACTACACGGCACTCCTAGTGGTGGGCGCCAGAACATATGCTAACCACAGCACTGCTGGCGGTCTATATTTAATTCTTTTTGTCCATGGTATTACTCTGACATGTCCTCTATTTTAAGATATGGATTATAAATTAAAGTGTGGATTTCACTTTTGTTTCTCAATAAAATTTTCTCACATTCTCTATAGAACTCGCCCACAACTAGTGTTGATATATCAAATAATGTAGGAAGAAGCTTTTCATTACCATGGTGGAAGGATAAACCATAGGTTTGATCACGACATAGACTAAGGGAGTATGATTTATCTATGATCACGATTACTAGAAAAATACCGGTATGGATCATAAACATAAACAAATGACGTTGTTGGCCCGAATCCTATACTAATATCATTGAAAATATGTTTTGGCAGTTCCATTTACGCAATGTTAAATAATGTTTATTTTCGGGCCAAAAACGTCATTTGTTTATGTTTATGATCCATACCAGTATTTTTCTAGTAATCGTGGGTTTGATACTCCTATTATAGGCTGACGTCACCCAGATTGCAAAAAGAAAGTCACCTGAACTGTCATATAAGTATATACTGTTTTGATTTGATTGTTATTGTTTTATATATTTTTTTTAAATAGTGAAATGACATTTGCAAATCTGGGTGACGTCAGCATGAGACGAGAATATCAATATCACACCTATGTTTTACAGGTTTTATCCTTCCAGCATGTTAATTACGTTTGTATCAATTTAAGTGTAAAACAGGCAGAAGATTGAAATACATTTGCTACAAAGTTTATTCATGAAACAATCGCTAAAACATACATAAATCAAAGGAAACATTACAACTTGAGGTGCCCCGGGTCAGTCACTACATAGTCCCAGTGTTTGGTGACCAGATGACGTTTGAGGTGGCTCGTGTAGTACGTCTTGTAGCTACATAGAGTGCAGCACTTGCTGGGCGACTTACCACATTCCAGACGTAGGTGTTGCTGTACACCCTGTACAGTTCGGTAGCTCCTGCGGCATTGAGGACATTGGTGGTCTGGAAAAAAAATCATCTCTCATTGCAGAAAACCTCTACAGTAAAATAGCACTTGCTGCATTGAAAACATCGGCATTGGGTGTAACGTAGAGGTTGGTTTATCCCCAGAATGAAGCCACGAATAGTCGTTGGATCAACCAAACTTGTTTAAATCATGTCTGTATATGTTTAATTTAAAGTTTTAAACCACACAGGAAATTAAGGCATGAAAATAACTGATTTATAAAAGTATATGTTACTTTTGCTTTAGGTAATACAATTTTGTGCTTAATTTAAGGAACGATTGACTTTTTCAATAATTCTGAGCATTTCTATTTACACTCTGCCCAACACATTCAACAATTTTTTAAATTTATTTAACCCTACAAGTTCTTATAAAACATTCAATCAAGGTCAATAAAGGAACAATGGAAGCAAAAACGTACAGTTTATTTGTTGAAAGTAATCTCCATGCGATGTACTGTCCGCAGATGCCTGTAGAGCGTCGGCGGCCGATGTGTTTTGAAGCTGCACAGGTGGCACCACTGGGAAGGAGCTTTGTTGCATTCCAACTTCATGTGCTGTTGAAGGCCTTTGATCATTTTGTAGGCCTTTGGACACTGAGGACAGGGATAGTTTGGCTCACACTTTCTTCCTGTCAAAACATGATTAGAAAATTGTAAAACTATGTTGGTAATAATTGTATTTTTTACTGTGAAAATTAATTTTTTACAAAATTTAAGTCTGTTAAAATTAATTTATTTTCAATCCAGTAAAATGTTTTTTGTTACAAAATTTAAGTCTGTTGAAAATTTACTATTGATTGAATATCTGAGGATTTATAGTCATACATTCATAATAAACCCTGGTAACTCATTTACATAGAGTAATATCCTCTTCCCAGAATATTCTTCATTAATGCTGACTACATACTTACCATTTTATCACGAAAATAAATTTATTCTATACAGTATACCATCAGTATGGTTTAAAATCATACTAATAATTATTCACTAGATTTGTCTCTCATTACCAGTTTTTATTAACTTTCATGTTCAAACTCGACTAACAGGGTTTTTTTCTTGTTTACTAACCATTTAATTATATTTCCATTATTGCTATTAATTTGATACAAATTAATATTTTACTGCAAATGTGTTAACTATTCTATATTTTGCTTTTAATCGATCATTACAAAATAATGCGTCTAACTGACTGCCTTACGATGTTTTTGGAAACACTGATAATTGGATGAATACTTAAAAATTACTCTGGTTGGTTGAGCAATGTAACCATTCAAATGTTGTTTAATATTCTTGTTTTTGTATATATATTTGTTTTGAAGTAAGAAATCATCAATGTAACTTTGTAGGGATTAACGGTAAGAAAAAACTCACAAGAAAAAATATATTGTAGGTGGTTTATTGATACAATAAAATATGGCACACTTATTCTACTCCCTATGAGGTATAATTTGTTAACGTCAACATACATATTGCTTTCCTTCCCACAGGCAAAATAAGAAAAGAAGAGAATTAGTAATACAGAAGTGTTGTTTTCTATTTTTCACATGATCATGTTCTTTTTGCATATTCACAAGGGGAAAAATTACTGGAAGGTAAAGCCCACTTATCATTGGGCTATCAGTCCTTAATATCTATCAAGTGGTGAAAATAAGAAGGTAACAGGAGTATGGTTTGGACCAATCCCATATAATAACATAAAAAATGCTTTCAATAAAAACGCAAAAGCATATTAAAACATCAAATCAAAGATTTTTTTGATTTTTAGAGCTCCTAGATAATGTCATCCTTGTAAAAACTTAAAAAAATCTTAGATACTATAGTCCTTGCCACTGTAAGTTGAGGCAGCGCAAGGCGTATATCTAGTGCGGCCTTTGGCTGATTCAACTTAGGGTGGCGAGGACTATATAATTTATGATTCGTCCTTTTAAATTATCGATTTTATTACACTGAGTTATTTTGAAAGATTGAACAAATTTAAAATTACATGTAACTAGCTGTTGGCCCGTCCTAGGAACGGGAATCAAGTAGTTGATTAAAACTCAATATAATTCAGAACAGCTGAGGTATTTTCAACATTAGGTATATGGAAAGTTCCCTTTAGAAAGGAATTACGACCTTAAAGGGCAATTTACGAAATAATGGATAGTTTGGCACAAGGTTTCTCATCCTGACGAACATTTTGAGTATATGGTTTAAGGGGGTGTGATTTGTAGTTTTCTCAAAAGTTCATGGGTACTTTGGGATTTATATATGGATTGATAAAACTCAATTTAATCGACTATGGTGGTGTCAGCAACTTCATTACATTTTTAACACCTGATTATTGATTTAACTTTTCTCCCGATTAATACATTAAAATTATTATTTCTGTAAACATTCCCAGCTTTGTGCTTCCAGTAGAAACATTAATTCCGCAGCTATATCAGCCTCTGCAGTTCTGTCCAGGCGTTACTTGAAGACGAGGTCTATGTGGTGGATGCAGCGCAGGTGTCTATACAGCGTGCTGCGTTGGAACGTTCTGAAGTTGCAGATGTGACACACTTGCTGCGGAGGTTTGCCCCCGCACTGCAGCAACATGTGCTGCTTCAGACTGTATTTGTGCTTATACCCCTTCCGACAAAACGGGCACACAAAAATAGGCAGCTCTGAAATATCAAACACATAACTCCTAGTTTCAGCTAATAATGATTTAGAAATGTTAAGAGGACCGTTTCCGTTACTTCACTGCCACTATGTTTTTAAAGTTTAAATATTAATAACTGTGAATGAAAATGATTATGTTATGTTTGGTTCGGTTAGAACTCAGACAACCAAAATTCAATTCTGTATTACATACCAGTTATATAGAGGTAGTGAATTAACGGAAAAATGTGTAAGAAAGTGGTTGTCGATTGTAGGTGCTTCAATTCAGTAGACTAGCGTAAAGGTAAGCTGTAGCCGGTAAATAATGACAAAGGTAATTCTGAATGGAGCTGTTAAAAGTAATAACTCTTAAGTTCTATTTTCTGTGAAATCATTGAATTGTAGACTATACTGAAGTGAACATCTGTTTTTTTAATAGTTTGGCAACTTTGACTTTTCGATACTGAAGTAGATAATATGTGGAATAGCTGCAGTACATTTTGTACCAAAAAGAGCATTATTGAATGAATCACTCAGTGTGTTGCTGTTGAAAAGGGTTTTCTCCTTTACTTTTTTATAGTACTGTGTTAGTTGAAGAGACATAGGGCTGCTCCAACAAAAGGGGTGTTTAGGTTTGTTAGGGGCACAAGAAGAGAGAAAATTTCTCCAACAAGGTAAGAGGAGGCGCAATTAACTCCCAGGTCCATAGCGCATCACATACAAACCACGGGCCCGAAGTGACATGATATTGTCATATTTTACAATGTATTGTCCTTTCTGTTTGGTTTGGTTAAAAATTAGTGAAGAAGAAAAAAACTACATATATATTCTTGCCATCAATGTCTTCTTTTCAACAAGTTTTTAAACTCAACCGCCTAGAGATTTGTCATGGGGATGGAAAGTCGAATTCTCAGTAGTGTACTTATAGTGGACAGGCCCAACCTATTAAGGTTGCAATAAGTTTGATTGCAGTAGTATAAGTTTGATTTGATTAGTTTGGTTATTCAAGTAATCAAACCCTTCCCAACTGTTTTCATACCTGACAAATCTTCTACTGACAATCTAAGATTGAATTACAATCGACAAACACTCAACAATATATGTACAGCTGTATTTTATGTGTATTAAATCTAGAAAACGTATATAAAATGTAGAGAAAATATGGTAGTTTAGTTTGAACATCAAGAAGTAGGATCTAGAAACATCTTTGGTAAACTACCTGATTTTCTTTATGTGTTTGATGGTAGAAATTTTAACCTTGCATTTTCTTTTTTATATAAGTATGGATATGAACTAATACAATATCCATTTGTGTTTTGAAGTTCTGAATATTTTTTGTCATAAAAAAACAAAAAACAATAATTTACACATTCTGTAATCAGTAAAACACACACCATGCCAAATGTTATTCAATAATGCTTGAAATATGTTTAAAGAAAGGGTTGTATTATCTAAAAGTGAACTTTAGATTAATTATGGTAGCGTAGGTATACAAAATTGTGATATTAAAAAAACTTTACTAATATTATATTACTTAATTGTAATTACTGACTAGATTAAATTTAAAAATACTGTAATAATTGAATTTTAACTGCAACAGCTGATTGTTAAGAATAGCAACAATAACATGTTGTTAAATTGTTGTTAAATTTGAGCTCATACCAAAAAGCCTCTACTTTGGTAATATTCTGAAATAAAATGCATTTAAAAATTATTTTGAAATATATATTTTCAAAATTATGCTTTATTTTGTGTTTGGATAGAGATTTTAAGAATTTAATGATATCAATTATAAAAGTAAAAGGGATTTGATGTCTGTCAATTACATTTTCATATGGTTGACAAAAAAGTACCCCAATTATTTGTACATAAACAAAGAAAAAAAAGAATTAAATGCTTCTTTTATCAGTCATGCTGAAAATGATTACTTCCGTATCTAACACATACTTCCACAATGCAAACATTTAGGAAAAACAATCATTCAAAAGAACATTAAAATCAATGAAACATTTCAAATCTACTCCTGGATGCAATTTAATCATGCTATCGAAAATGTAGTGAATGGACCAAATACAAATATTTTAGAAAATTTTGCAAAGTAAAAAAAAATGACAAAGGGTTAGAAAAAGTTTAGACTCTTCATTTACATCAATCATATATATTTTAACATTTTATTACATTATTATAAAAGTTTTGCAAAATAGTAACTTTCATTTCCTATAGTAACTTATATTTATTTTACTTTACCACTCAATATATCATATTTAAATATCACTGTTATATATAAAACACATTCAATGGACAATTGGTTGTGTCCTGCTAATTTGAACGAATTGAAACCAACTGAACTTTGTTTTGGTTTAGACAGAATTTTGTCTTATAGTGCCATGTTTTGACCTTTTACAGCCATCACATATATTAAAACGTGACAGGGTTTTTTTATTTCACGATTCTAAATCAACCACTTGACGGATTTTTATGATTTTTGTGCTGAAAGAAAGATAATTTTGAGAATTAGGGAATGTGGAAGAAGCTATAACTTTAGTTTAGGGTTTCAGTTTTTTAGAAATTAAGTTTAACATTTTTAAAAGTCTAGCAGCCGACGCTAACATTCTACTCTAGCTTTTGGTATAATACTATTTGCTTAACGTAACAGCTGTAAACATTCAGCGTTTTCCACACAAATTCTTTGCATAAATTACTTAAATAAATAAATTACTTTGCATACATAATGGGACTGAAGACGAAAAAAGTACGCTAACGTTAACATATTTCAACAAACTTAATTTTTTAATGTTACATTACATCATAAAATGAGGAACTGAGAAATCTTTTGCTTCATTCACTGCGTAGCCCCGCTCATCACTTCCTGTGGTATAAAGTTGTGCCTGGCTGCGTAATGTCGCTTCAGGTTGTTGCTGCGGAATGTTCGATAACCGCAGTGACTGCAGCTGAAGGTTGGTTCTTTACCGCACTCCTTCATTTGGTGTTGCTTCAGACTAGACAACCAGGAGTAGCTGCGGCCACATTGCATACAGGTGTGCTTCATACCAGCTGATCCTAGGAACAATAAACAGCTGGTTGTGGTAAACATAGAAAGAAGTTTATGCTTCTTCCAATCTTGAGGCTGAATATTTTTGTGACGGGAAAATAAACATTAATTGGGTGTAGGGTAAAGTATTGCAGGTTTTGAACGGATTAAAGATTACGTGGTTGAGTTTAAAATCAATAGCGGAAAAAATGAATTACCTATGTTTATGGTATATGGCTTTTACAGTCATCCACTGTATGTGTAAAAATAATAATAATCATGAGTTCTAATACCGTGTGTTTCTCATTTTGAAGCAGAATATTAAATTTATTGATTTTAAGAAAATGAAAACTGCATAACTTGGGAGAATGAATTTTGCAAGTTTGGACAGATTAAAGACCCAGGCTCAGGCTTTAAAGATTGGGTAGTTTCCGCCAAAGTCAATACGTGGATATAAAATAGATAAAATACATGTTCCAGTCAGCTTCTGTAACTAATTAATAAGTGTTTCCAAAATCAAATACCTAATTGCTAGGTGTGCATCTACACTTTGGGTCTACACTTTGTAAACAGGCCTCACTTTGTGGGCTGACTTAGCTCAAGGTACCAACATTTTAGGGAAGCCAAATCCTCAAAAATATTTATTTTAAAATAAAATTTTTGTTTGCTGAAGAATACACAAATTCCAATAGTATTTTAAACCTCAAAAAATAAAAAAAACTTGTTTCCAACTAATTATATTTCAAAAACGTTCCAAGATAGGCCTTCTGATAATGGAAGGAAGGCACCAAAGGTGCTTGCGACCCAAGGCGATATTCACCCTGATGTTAAAATTTTGTCTGTTAAATTTTTTTGATTTAAAATTTCGGCCTTGTCATTGAGGTACAGAAAATCCATTTCAAAAGACGTGTTTTGCAGCTTTATGTCGCTTGAGGTCGTTTGACCGGAAAGATCGGTAGCTGCAGACGTTGCACTTGTAGGGTTTGGGTTTGCCACACTCTTTCTGCAGATGGTGCCGAAGACTCGCAGCCCAGGAATAGCTTCGGGAGCAATTTTCACACTTGAATATCCTGGCCGACTCGGACGATTCTAGAAAAATGCACATAGCTTACTTGTAATCTCCATAAAAATGACATGGAAATTTAAAAAAATTGAAAGATTTTTCTTTAATTTCTCCACAACCATTATGCGCATAGTAGTGCTTCAATGTTTAAATTTTTGTTAAGCTTTCTAAAATGGGTCAGAAAGAAATCACAAATTTTGTGTTTTGGTGGTCAAAAATGGGAAAACCAAATTTTTACCTCCGTAAACCCCTGTTCCCATTGTTCTATAGGTTTACACGTTTATACAGAATTTCAAAATCGTATCATTTTTGCTCAAGTTTGGTGCTATCGGATATATAGGCCTATATTCAGAGGATAAATATGCCGAACGGATGTTGTATCTGGCCTCTGGGGACCTCCAAACTAAAAATTTAACCGGTTCCAAACTATGTTCTTTGTTAACAATTATTTGCCCTAAGCTGGTTTATATATAAACTTCTATATCCAAATGCCAATGATGTGGTGTTACCTTTTTTGATAGTGGATGGATTCGACTCATTTGTAAGGCTACAAATGTTTTTGACCTTCATCCACAACACTTATTGATTCATTACAATCCATTTCCACATTTACAAATGCAATGTCATCTTGTTCTTCTTCTTTGATAGAAATATTCTCTGAAAAAATTGTACAAGCATAAGTAGATAAACTATTGAACTATGCTTAGAACTAATAATTATATCTTTTTTTGAGCAAGAGTATTTAATATCTGTTTTATCTCATAACTTTTACGCCTCTTCTATAGGATCACTTTCTCTTTTGACATGGTTTGTGCAAATCAATTAATTACTCAGTTTCTCGTAACTTTGATTACAGTCAGGAAAATGTACCTATGCACTTTTAGCTCTGTTTTTCATAGTAAAGCTACATAACTAAAACCTTTTTACTTCTTCCACTCCCAGCTCAGTAGCAATACCCACACACCCTTTGTTTGAAACATTGGTTGGGATTCACTGTAGTAGTGTCCCACGACAGCTTTGTAGTGATTTATACAATTGTATCAACATAACAATGTTTTCTTGAATACCTAAATCCTTACTCATGTTAATGAAGGTAAAAACTCACCACGAAACACAACATACAAAATACAGGCATGTCTGGCTAGTAACTGGCATGTCTGGCTAGTAAATGGCATGTCTGGCTAGTTAACAGGCATTTCTGGCTAGTAACCGGCATGTCTACCTAGTAACCGGCATGTCTACCTAGTAACAGGCATGTCTGGCTAGTAACAGGCATGTCTGGCTAGTAACTAGCATGTCAGTCCCCATGCTTTTCTTATGGTGGATATTTTTACGTTATATCTCGTTTTCTGGTATCTTTATGGGAATTATGCTATTTTTACCGATTCCCTAGGGTCAAGACCTTTAATTTAAGACTCCTCCCACCTTTCTACAATTTGAGATATTTGAAATCGGTTTGCGGCAACCTTCTTAGATATGAGGGGCTACAATAGTTATGGTCAATTTTGAAAATTTTGCCCTTAGGGGTAGCGGGGGTAGGGGGTAGCTCAAAATTTTCAAATGACAAGTATAGTCGAGTTTGGCATCATTTTACAGGTCTTGACAAAACATAAACATTGACATAAAGAAAACCAAAATCGGCTCACTAATAACAAAATGGCGCCCTAAAACGTTTCAAATCCAAATAACCATGAGGGTGGCAAAAAAATTAACTTGCACCCTCTTTAACTTTTTAATTATTTGAGATATTTGAAATCGCTTTGCGGCAACTTGTTTGGAAATGAAGGGCTACGATAATTATGGTCAGTTTTAAAATTTTTGCCCTTAGGGGTAGCGGGGGTAGCTCAAAATTTTCAAAAGGCAAGTATAGTCGAGTTTGGTATAATTTTACAGGTCTTAACAAAACATAACAAATAACATAAAGAAAATAGAAATCGGACCATTAATAACAAAATGGCAGCTAAAAATGATTGAGACTATGGTTATTTCAAGTAATTTTGAACTGCCATTTTGTTATTAATGGTCCGATTTCTATTTTCTTTATGTTATTTGTTATGTTTCGTCAAGACCTGTAAAATGATACCAAACTCGACTATACTTGCCGTTTGAAAAAATTGAGCTACCCCCTACCCCCGCTACCACTAAGGGCAAAATTTTTAAAACTAACCATAATTAAAATTCATGTTTTCGGCCCCTGGACTATATTGTTAAGACAATAATAGGTTTTTTACATACCTCAGTCAAATAGTCCAAAAATGGTATTGCTCAACAGCTTACATGTTTCGTTGCGAAGACAACATTATCAAAGCTTGCAACTCGTCAAAAACACATTTAAAACACGAACACGAACACAGAAGACATTAATACGGTACGAATACACAATTGACATTTAGATAGCGCTATCATAATACTGATTTGGTCCGGCGCGGCGCGGGGCAGTCTGCTACCAGCCCCGCGCCGCGCCGGACCAAATCAGTATTATGATAGCGCTATCTAAATGTCAATTGTGTATTCGTACCGTATTAATGTCTTCTGTGTTCGTGTTCGTGTTTTAAATGTGTTTTTGACGAGTTGCAAGCTTTGATAATGTTGTCTTCGCAACGAAACATGTAAGCTGTTGAGCAATACCATTTTTGGACTATTTGACTGAGGTATGTAAAAAACCTATTATTGTCTTAACCATAATTATTGTAGCCCTTCATTTCCAAACAAGTTGCCGCAAAGGTATTTCAAATATCTCAAATAGTTAAAAAGTTAAAGAGGGTGCAAGTTAATTTTTTTGTCACCCTCATGGTTATTTGGATTTGAAACGTTTTAGGGCGCCATTTTGTTATTAGTGAGCCAATTTTGGTTTTCTTTATGTCAATGTTTATGTTTTGTCAAGACCTGTAAAATGATGCCAAACTCGACTATACTTGTCATTTGAAAATTTGGAGCTACCCCCTACCCCCGCTACCCCTAAGGGCAAAATTTTCAAAATTGAACATAACTATTGTAGCCCCTCATATCTAAGAAGGTTGCCGCAAACCGATTTCAAATATCTCAATTGGTTGAAAAGTTAAGTAGGGGTGCAAGTTACTTTTCAGCCACCCTGTATATGGATATCTTTTATCTTATATACAATTGAGATCCTATAAGTACAACCATTAAAAAAATCTATTTCCGACAAAAATAGTACTGTAATGCAACGTAGATGATAATATTTTAAAAATCTTGAGAAACTGCAAGATAAGAAAAAAAACCAATGTAAAAACCCTTTATTATACCTTCACAAAATAAATCTATCCCCTCCACTTTATCATCCTACCATTAAAACAATAGCTCAACAACCGATGTTTGTCAAAATGGCAAACAGCTGCTACAGTAGAACCTCTTTAATCCGAACTAATTGGGACCGGGGGTAGTTCGGACTATTGAATAGCTCGGATTACAGAACATATTGTTGTTTTTACATAACATTAGCTAGGGAAAAGTGTAAAATGCTTTATAAAGTAAAATACAGTGTTTATTTAATACAGTAGTAAACATAGGGAATAAAAAGTACTGTACGTTACAATTAAAATAATAACGGTGCGTATATCAATAAATACAGTTTACAATAAAGAGCTACTGTACTGTGTATAGAGTACAGCAATGAGGCGTTCGGATTAGTGGACGTTCGGATTACAGGGGTTCGGATTAAAGAGGTTCTACTGTACATATAAAATAAGCAAATAAAGTAGTGAGGGAATTTCCCCTCATATCACCTAAATTTTGTGAACGGGGTATAATACTAACCCAGCTACAATCATCGTATGTTGAAATACAGAAATCGTCATGTTTACAGGATTATAATTCATACAAGATTGTCATTCGTACAAGATTATAATTTAATAGTTCTCCCTATTAAATATATCACAGCCATCATCAATCATTAACTAACACGTTGCCAAATATTTATAATAATTAATACAAAACCAACTTTTGTTCTTTTAATACTTCCTCCAGTAATTTTACATTCTAATTGGACCAACAAAATACTCTAACAAATGCATCTTAAAACAAATGTTGGCAAGTTTCAAAATGAGCACTGAACTAATATTTACTTGAAGTATCTGCAAGTGATTCTTGAATGTAACATATAGACGTAAAACTTGTTCATCCACTACTAAAATAAAAATTATAACAAATACTCTGGAACTATGTCACTGAGTTATTGAGTAACTAGCTCGTGTAATTCTTTGACCGAAGCTGCTCCAATGATAGGTCCTATTACTTCTACTGTCACAGTTACAAAAGTGTCTGTTATTTGGTTTACTTCCTAGTAGTTCTTCAACAGAGGCCGCTCCAACGGTGGGTCCTATTACTTCCAATGTCACAGTTACAAAAGTGTTTGTTGAGCTACTTCCTCATAATTCTTTGACCGAAGCCGCTCCAGTGGTAAGTCCAGTTTGTGCACAGACCTCAGATGTCTCAACAGATGACAACGGTAGAATGTCTTGTAACTGCAAAGTTGGCAGCAATGAGTTGGTAGTTTGCCGCCACATTCGTTCTTCTTGTGCCACACTAAAGTCGCTTTCCACTTGTAATTTTTACCACAAGAACATGAATATCTCGTCCCAAACTCACTTTGTTCTGAAAAAAAAGTAATAATTGTTACAAGTTCTGCAGCGCTTTTTTGAAATGCTTATAAACATTACATATGGTTGATAGAATATTTAAAATGTGAGATAAGTTGGTCATGCAGGATGCAGGAAACTGAACTTGACAGTTGTGATCAGACAAGGGTATGGTATCACTCCCATGGGTTCAGTCATGAGAAATCATGGAAAAATGTACTTGAGCTTCTTGTTCTAAATACACTTCAACACTTTGCACATGTATATTGCTTACGCACTTCATGTAGGTATTGTAAGCTATGAATATGAATACAGATAAGTACAGAATTGATAAAATGTTAGTATTGTTAACTAAATAAAGTCAGTGTGTTCTTTAGCCAGGAACTTATACAAAAGCCTAATGGACAAAGACAAAATCAATTATCAAAATGCTACTGACTTTCAGGAGCTCTTTAATAGTTTAAAACGGATATAGATGCTGAAAATCAGCTAGCTTCATTACAATGTTTTTTATAGGGCCAGGCTTATTTTCACATGTTAGTGCAACACACCTACTCTAACTAGTTCATTATAAAAAAAAATTGCAAAATTTCTACCGGACAAGAAAGCGAGCTAATAAAAACATTTTAATATACTTTCATATACAATCACAATATCCAAATAAAAATAAACTCACAAATACAACAGCTTTGACGTTTGTGTCTAAGACGTTTATTACTAAAATAGTTTATACAAGTATTAGTGCAGTAAAATACATGATTTTGTACTCTTTAAATGCTCTTCAGAAACTGGACAAAATATTCCTTTGTTAAAAGAAGCTCAAGACAGTATTGGTAAAAACTACTTGTTAGCATTGTTTTAACAGTGATTGGTTTTAACCAGCAATTATCATCATTGCCACGTGCTTTCATTTAATTTATCGTAACATAGAAGCCATGAGCATTCTGGATTGGAAGGCGCTTCAAAATGTTTAACCGAATCCAATTGTTCAAGACTAGCCTTGCTTTTGAAAACTTTCTATGGTTATACTTTCTTTATGCAATTACTGGAAGGTACTTGTTAAAGAATACGAAGAGGCTATTGAAATAACTATTGCATTTTTCGTAGTTGGTAACATTTTAATAACATGTCAAGTAAAAACTCTAATTCATTTTACAATGTAGTTTTTCCAGAGGAACATCAAGCTTATGCGTCTTCCGCAAGTGCCGTAGGAGATCGCAGCGTCTGCGTGTTTTGTAGTTGCAAATTTGGCACAATTGATTAGGTTTCTTCATACATTCGTGTTTTAAGTGATACGTCAATGATGCTCTGTTTTTGTAGTTCTTCCCACAACCGCAAAGGAACCTTTCTTGTCCGTTGATGACAACAGGAAATTCTGAAAATTTGGTAATCAAAATTCTGAAATTCCCTGAGAGAAGTTTCACAAATATCATTCATTCATTCAAATAACTTCTCATTAATAATATGCTAAATAAAACTCAAGTGCAAAATACTAAGCAAATTTCAACTTTAGATTACATTTTAATTTTCTACAAATTGATTGTTATTTTATTACCCAAAAGGTATCATTTCAATCCTGTAGGTATTCAAAATTACGTCTTTGACATTATGGAGGATAAATCAGTCGAACACACACACTGTTAAATTTTTGCTGAAATAAGTGTTAATGCACAACTTATAGTTACAATTAAAATAATACCATGCAAAGGATAACAACAATTTGTTTTTTATAAATTAATATTTTATTTATAAACAATACAAAACACCTTTTACGATGGGGGATCACAGTTAATTGGAAGAATAACAATTATATTTATGTTGAAACATAATAAATTCTATTTTAATTTTTTATAAACTGTAACAAGATACGTTAGACTAACGTATTAAAACACTTTTCTTTAATCCTATCCATTTTATAAAGTATAATGATAAATAAAAAAGGGGAAATCCGATAACACATTGTGGTTATGTAATAGTAAGATAAACAAAACATAAACTTCTTATACAAAACACAAAATTGAAATACTTTATTGAATATTATCTAATTAGGCCTACTCAAAAACTTGAATATTAAATCCCTATGAGCTATAATATGATTACCAATAGCTAAAGGGTGGTAGTAGTACAATGTTTACGAATCAAGATTTTAAGAGTTAATTTGTAAAATAAATAGTTAAACACACTTGGATACTTTTAGATAAGAAAACTGAATGCAGATTTTTTGTTGATATTTTGCGATTTCTTTGAGACGACTAGAGGAGCCACAGTAAAATCATTTTTACATAACAAAAATAACAAAACAATCATTAAAACCAACTTTATTTAACAATTTAAGTTCATTTTTGATAAGGGATGGTCATATCAACAGGTACCAGTCTAGCTTAGGTCAATGATTGAGCTTATACACATAAAACCAATTACCATGTATGCTTTGGCTTACCAAGTTTTTAAGTGGGTTTCTTTTATAATTTGCCTGCATGTTTTGCATATCAGAGAAAAGTTTTTTTTAATTATTTAATTCAGTAATGCATTGCTGAGTGGTGTATGTTAGTTCAGGTCTTTTACATAAATATTATATAAATATATATATATATATATATAGACAATTATGTATTTAAATTTTGAAGCACAATATTAGTTTTAGGAATGATCACTTGGTGGCTTAGGAATACATTAAGGAAGAAGGCATGTATGCACAACTAACTAACCTAATAAATGATTTCCAGGCAGTTGATAGAACAAAAAAATTCACAAAGAACTCATTTAATAGTTTTGTTGTGCTCTACCAATTCCTTCTGAAGAATATTAGTTGCCCCGTTTACCTCTAAAGAGGCAAAATATCAAATTCTTTTTTGGGATCTTTATGTGTGGTATCAACTGCCTGAAATATTTGCTTAGGTAAATTTAGTTCTATTCCTTCTTCCTTGAGGAATAATGTTAACAATTTACACAGCAAACTTTTGCATCACATAACGATCTCGTTCAGGAGGCAGGTCTAGTTTGTGTACAGTACGCAGATGCCGCAGTAGATGACTGCGTCGACAAGACTTAAAACTGCATATTTCGCAGAAGTGACTAGGTTCTTGGTTACATTCATTTTTCTGATGCCACTGGAGTGTGTTCTTCCACTTGTAGCTTTTACCACATTCACACACATACCGAGAGTTCCCTGGAAACCATTAGACACTAGAATAGGTTGTCTCTGTAAGATGGTACATAATCTTTTTTGAATACTATGAATTAGAAAGGATTTTAAACAAAATATTTAAATTTATCTAACATCGTTATACATAAACATGTATCTAGAGGTTATAAAATTTGATACAAAATAATAAATCTTTTAGAAAAGAGTCCAATAGTTTTGATCTATGCTTGTAAAACCACATTTATCCATACGTTAAGCAATAAATGTCTGTGATAACATGCTCGCTGAGGAGAGCGAAGTGCCATTCTGGTGTTTCGTGACGGTTCTCTCTGCGGGAACGTCCAGCTTGTGCACGTTGCGCAGATGACGCAGAAGACTGCTGCGCACCTTGGTTCGGTAGTTGCACAGTTGGCAAGCGTGGTTGGCGTCTCGGCCACACTCATGGCGTATGTGCCAGGCTAGCGTTCCCTTAAACTTGTAATGCTTTCCGCACGCACAGATGTGTCTCCCTGCTTGGACATGCAAAATTTGTTATGTAACACTGACCTTTTTTTAAATATGTTAATAAATGCTAACAAAGAAGACGGACACAGTAAAAATGTTAAAAATATTTAAGAAAGTTGGATGTTTAATTAATCTATTTATTTAATATCTATCTATTTATTGATCTATGCCTATTTACATTAAATAGATTGTACTGTTAAGATTTTGAGGTTAAAAATGTGCTCTTATCTATTGAAAAAAAACTATTTATTTCCATTGCTAAACCTATGTATACTTATGTATGTAACTTATGTATGCAAAAGGAAGTATAATAAAAAAACAAAGTATGAAAAAAATGTTTATTAAAACTACAATCTGTTTAATATTTCCCCAAAATTGTTCCAAAGTAGGCCATTATTGTGTAGATAACCTCATACAAGAATAAAATATACTCTGATAGTTTGAAGGAATACCCCTTATTCTTAATTACCGTATATGTTTAGATTTAGTAGAAAGGACGTTTGACTGGTGATACAACTAAACATCAGATCCCTAAAAGTTATCGCCAGATTTAACCAAAATCGTTGTTGTTGATGTGAGCCACTGACAAAATTGTGCTGATCTAAATTAATAATTTCCATTGAATACACAATTTTTTTTACCAAGTCAAACTGATAGAACACCTTATTGTGTGCTATAGCAACTTTTAGGTCCAGTCAACTACATCAGCAACCAAAAATAAGGTAGAAAATAGGATTTTAGATACTGGCGCAATCTGTGACTGGATAATATAACTATGTTCTTAAAAAAAAAAATGCGACAGCTGGTCCAAAAGATGGGATGTCTACTTTAGTATCCAATCGTCAATGATATGATTGTCCACTCACATGTTGAACAATGTGACAAACTGTACCCTCTTTCTGTTGGTGATTTCCGTTCTCAGTCTAAATATTTAAATTTGAAGATTATGGTTTTTCTTTGTCATTCCTACTTCAAAGCATTTTTTCAGTCGGCAGAATTGACATCTGTTACGAGTGACTCTATCGATAACACATTTCCCATCACCAACACACGCGTAGTAGACAGTCGAGGACTGGCTGCGTCGGAAGAATCCTTTACATCCTTCACACGTCAAAGCTCCGTAGTGCATTCCTGTGCTTCTGTCACCACACACTCTGCAATAAATGGCCACCCTGAAATCTGGAACATTCAATGTTAAAATTAAGTGGATTATCACCACAAAAATATACAATTGTTCAATGCACTCATTATACCTGCATTATTTACAGCTGCATCGATATAAGCTATACAATAATTACAAAGCAAAAAGCGTTTTTCAACCCCTTAAATTTTGTTGAGACCCGACTGAATATTTTCTATCACTTAAAACTAAGATCAACAACCATAAAATATATTTTTTTTTAAGTGTGTGGAAGAGGGTAGCTGAGTAGTTATGGCACTACCCTAATAATCTCAAAAAAGGTCTCCTGTGCACACCTGAGAAAATGTCAGAAATGCCTGAGAAGCTTGCAATGTTTTGAAACTGAGTTTAGCGCTGTCCTTGATTATTGGGCTTTTAAATAGTCCTAGAGGAAAAAACAGCTGGTCTAAGTCAGTAAAAAAGCTATGAAGCTCCTCACTCAATTTACACTCATTTACCATTCATATTTAGGTTGAAATGTGCCTATTTTGCCTCCATCTAAATGAATAATATGAATGATGAATAATCTAAATTGGTGCGGTACCTAATAGTAGTGTTGATGAATAATCTAAATTGGCAACTAATCAAAATAATAGTGATGAATTATCTAAATTGCTAATGATAATAATGTTTAAAAATGAACTATTTATTACTATAAAGTTTATAAACCTTTAATTTTAAACCAAAGCAACCATAATTATGTGCATATGTATGTACATATATTACACAATTGCATAGACACATTTTAAACACCCTTATAGAAAAGAAGTATAGGATTTTCCCCAAACGACTCATACGCGTATTATAGATCAAACATACTCATAAGTTTTCTATTTTTATGGATGAGCTAAAACAGTTTTAGTGTTAATTCCGTGTGGTGCTTAAAGGGGCGTGTGTTTGTGATGTTACTTATAATTTAAGTTATTTAAAACATATTCCTAGCAAATAAAACAATGTAATTATTAACTATAGCTCATCCTCTGAGAGTGTAAATAAAGTCCCGCAGGGGTGAAATAAATGCTAAAAAATAACAGCTAAATCAATAATATTTAGTACATCAACACGAAACCTAAAGCTCTACTTTTTGAAGGAACTGTCAGTTTTCTGTCATATCATGGGGACGTCCCGCAAGGAGTCAGGAGGAAATCTTAAATATGAGCATAGGCTGATATGTACTGATATGTATGTACCTAGTGGCATCAGAATCCTGTAGAAAAACGAATAACATTTCTTAGAGTGAATCTAAAAATTTTAGATTCACAAAAAATTGAACACATAAAAACCTAACACTGAGTCAACTTTCCTCACCAAGTCAATAACGGTTAGTCCAAGAAGCAAAACAAAGGACAATTTTATGACATAGCAACACTCCCTGTTACAATAATTAGGCCTACCTACCTTTTTGGGCATATTGTTGTCAGAAGATCAGTATATAATAGTATATTACGTTACTAGTCCTGAAAATAAGTGTTTACCGGACGAGTGTTTCGTCTAGCACGGGATTACCATACGAGTCAGGTACACACAATTTGGACGAGTTACATACGATAGTTTGCGCCATACTACTAAATCTGTATAAATTCTTATATATTTCCACCAACTAAAGGACTAAAAATAAGATAAAGTCATAACCTCTAAGAGAGATTTTTTGTTTATAACCTCTCATTGCCACCTAAATACAGTATAATCAGCTGATTGGTGTCCGGTAAAACTCATTACAGTACAGTAGTACTCAATGAAACCCCATTGAATAAGCTGGCGGCAAACAGCTATTTTCTGGACTAAATCCTTGCGTGGGATGTTCGTCAAAATAATGTAGTGTGGCATAAAAATATCTAGCTTTTCTATTGACTTAAAATAGAAAATCTCTTCAACATCTGACCACTGTGATATATTTTTGAGGTCCGTTTTGGATTTTGAACATTTGTTTGGTTGGTGGCTGACCTGGTGCTGTAAACGACTGTGAAACCTAAAAATCTCTGCCATTTAAAATTTATCAGTTCATTATAAGGCTGTACCAAGGCCCCACTAGAAAAACAGGCTATGCTGCAGGATCTATATCGTCACACTTGTGGATAGATTCACTGCCATATCCCATAAGTTTAGGTAAATCAGCTGGCTGTTTGCGGCTGGCAACTTTAGTACAACTCAACACTGTGACGTAGTGTTGCGCTGCCTGTGCTGCAGCATGGCCTATTTTCTAGTGTGGCCTTGGCTATACCCCATCTCACAACCTTGCTTTGCTGGATACGATCCATTCACAGGCCTTGTGGACTGGCAAATGCGTAGTTGCAAGAGGTAACCAACTTATTTATGCATTAAAAATAAATAACTTTGAAGTAAAAATTCCAATTGAGAACATAGTATTAGGTAACTGGATAAATAGTAAAAATACTTTACCATAAAAAAAATACTAAATCTTTATTTTTAGTTGTAAATGCTACAGTATTATCGTTACTACTGAGAAGAGGTATATCCAGTTCTACGTTTGTAGAATTTGAGATGTAACTGAAGCCTATCAAGATCTATGACCTCCTCTTCATTCTAAACAGTTATAACACATGGAGAGTTCGCAGTGCAATTCACTGTCATTCTACTAATTATTTCTAAAGAAGCAATCTTCCTCTTAGAGGGGAAAAAATCAAATTAATTTGTAGTGAAGTTTTAGTGTGCTATTAACTACCTGTATCACTTTTCATGAATCAGTTTGAGGATAAGGATATAACATAGAGCACTAGGATTTTTAAGATGTTTTTATGAGGATAGCAGGCGTACCTGAATGGGAATGAGTCTTACCCTTTTAGCAGAGTCTATTCTTTAATAAATAATTTAATTCTTGAACAAAAATCAAATTTTACCATATTATTGTTTATTTTTAACTACTACAACAATTTCCAACATGACAAAATAATAAAAGATCATCTGTTTTAACTATTTACAGTCAATTAGGGAATATAAACACAAATTACACAAGAGACACAAAACTTTACACAATATACCTACACAAAACATAAGAACATTTCACTGTCACTGACAGCATTTTCAACTAAGGAAGAAAGAGTTTTCTTTAGGTCCATTATGGCGGCCAGTGAGTTGTTGAGACAATGTTGCCAATAGTATAAAAAAAACGTTGCAGCAAACCTGCAGACTAAGTGAATTTCCATTTGCCTGATTGGGTTTTAATTAAATCTATTTAAATTACATTAGGTTTAACAAGTACCTAGGTTTGCTACAGGGAGAGTACGGAAATTATGCAAGTGATTGGCTCTTTAAAATTTGAGATAAAGATCCCATCTTGACATCTTGGTTGAAAGATGATAACAAAACTCATTTTTATTTCAATGTAAAGCTGTATAATTAATGTTTAGTTGCTGTCTAGTTGTCTTGATGTCAATTTCTCCTCTGCATTTTGGTAACAGGCGTCAAGTTGTCACCTCCAAAAATCTGAGGTGGCTGTCACGTTGCATCCTTTCTTGTTTATGCCAAGCTGTCCAATTTTAAACTCTATGGCGACAGCTTTATGTGACACTACCGTCAGGTTGTATCCCAGTAAAAGGAGACAAATTGACGTAGAGAAAACTCTACGCCGAAGCAACTAGTGTTCTTAAATTATTGGAACAAAAAAAATCATGAAGGTCAACTACATGTTCAAATGACTAAGAAAACACAGTTTATAAAAATATAAATGTTTATTTACGATATTACAATGACTTTGATGACATACAATGACATTTTAAAATGTTGCTGAACAAGTTTTTATATTGTTGACCTGTATCATTAAACACTGTGACTTTGAATTTATTGAACAGCATGAATTACAAAAGGGTTGCTGATTGAATATTTAGTTGGTCTGTAATTAAATTAGACAGTTTTGTTGAGTGAATTTTGATTTGATTTTCAACTTTTCTGACATTGCCTTGCAACTACATTACACATTGTTGAGTAAGTTTAGAGTGTGTTGATGTGTAGTGAAATTTCAGTGTTGATAACTAAACTTTGAGTTTATATTATCTGCATTCATCGCTACACGGAGTAATTGAGCAAGTTCTAAGTTTTTGGTCATAACTCTGAGTTATTAAGTTTGATTTTAAGTGAGTAGACTTTGTGTTTAGTGACATTATGCCGTGGCGTTGAGTGAGTTTGTAGGTCTGCGGATGCGCTCAAGAGGGATGTCAAGTCTGTGCAGCATGCGCAGGTGGCGCAACAAGTTACATCTCTTGTGTGTCTTGTAGTCGCAGAACTGACAGAGCTGATGGGGTTGACGGCCGCATTCGTGTCGCTGATGCCACAATAAGTTGCCCTTCTGCTTGTACGACCGACCGCAACAGCAGGTGAACCCTGTGAGACAAACGTGGAAATAGATAATGCTTATTTTAGGTTTGCGTTTTGCGGAAAGGGTTAAGGGAAAACATTTAAACCCTTAATCTTTTTGATAACCTGGGGTTCAACTTCATCTCTTCAACACTGAAGTCACAGAAACTAACCACTAGGCTAGATACTAAACAATTTTGTAAAATCATATAGAGATTTTTAAACATTGCTCATCCGTAAAAAAAATTGGAAGTGCTGACGTTGCAAGAAAAGAAATATTTCTGAAGTGATTAAACTCTTTCAATTCCTATTCTATGGCTTGAATATATTTGTTCATGTATAAAATCAGATTTTTTAAAAGAAATGAGAATCTAGAGTAGTGTGACTATAAATGACAGGAAAAAAGGTTGAAGGTTTTAGGATGGACTAAGACCATAAACTCTAATAATTGACACTTTTAAGATATTACTGTAGAGGGATATGAACTATCTTGTTGTTGAGGCGATGATGTTGAATAAAATAAAAAAAAAATTGTAAGGGCAAGATTTGGCCTTGATGTTTAGTGTTCCTGTTAACAATGCAAATTTTTTGGATGAGTCAAGAGACGTTTTTAAACACAAAAACAAAATAATTGTTTTATTTTTTATATTATTAAAATAAAATGACATCATGAAAACATAACAGTACATATTTTGGTATACTTGACTATAAAATTTAAAGCAAACAGTAGGAACAAATTATGGAACATTAAATTGCACTGTTCAATAACAAAAATCACAGTATAATTATCCACAAATATTTTGAACATCATTCTCTTCAGTCCATGAATTTTCGTTGATTACTTGTAGCAAATGTTTCTCTGGGCAACTTCGCTTGTTGAAGATCGGTATTTGGTGGACGTTGCGGAGATGCCGTCTTAGATGACTCGGAGTGTGAGATTTGTATTGGCAAAAGTGGCAACACTGCTTCGGCTCCTGGTTACACTCGTACTTCTGGTGTTGGCGGAGGCTGCCTTTCCAGCTGTAGAAGCGACCACACTGATCACAGCTGTAGGTGAACGCTGCAAGTTGAGATGATGAATCAAAGATAAAGAAAATCACGTAAGTACACCTTACGTTAATGTTGGAATCATAGCTAAATAATAAAAACACACACATGTTGAAAGTTCACGTTTGATGAATAATAATGAGGAAAATCACAAGGGTACACTTTAGGTTGATTAATCGTTGATTACAAATTATGGTTGATATCTAACAATTGTTGATGTTTTATGTTGGAGTGTTTCATTACCAATACCATTGACTATTGGATACAGAAGTTGTTGTATTAATAGTCAAAGCTAATCATCAAAAATACCAATTATGTGGAAAAAAAAGAAAACCTTATGTACCTGTGCACTGAAAGTTGATGTCTATGTGATCAAACAGAAAACACATTTTGAGAAATTGATGTTTCATGGACCAAAGATAAAAAAATAAAACACATACCGTAGACTGGGGTTACTTTGTGCCTGCAGGGGTTATTTTGTGACACCATGCCCTTTTTTACTATTTTTCATATAGTACCAAAACGGTTTTGAACTATGGTATAGGATTGCTACTATTTCTTACTCCATGAAAAGTTACATCTGTAGACTACAAACATTGTTGTTTTCTTGGGAGTGTTGCACGACGTCCAAGTGCCACGACGTCCAATAATATTTTTTCAGTGCCACGACGTCCAAAACATAATTTTTGAGTTGTTGCACGACGTCCAAGTGCCACGACGTCCAAAAGTACAGTAACTGCCAAAAATATAGTCTTTCTACAAGCTTTGGACGTCGTGGCACTTGGACGTCGTGAAACAGCGCACTGTAGAATTGTAAAAAAGTATCATTTGCACCACGTCCAAAGCCTCTGCCAGTTGCACGACGTCCAAGTGCCACGACGTCCAATCAATATTTGACTGTTGCACGACGTCCAAGTGCCACGACGTCCAAAGTGCCTGCACACTGTGAACACTGTTTGCCGACCTCAGTGCATACAGTTCGCATTGCAATTATTGAAGGCAACTAGGCCTAGTCAACTGTTTGAAAGTTGTCAACCGCTACGTCTTCGATTAATGTTTAAATTATTCAATATTCAATGGTTCTAATTGAACTAATTATTGCATTAGCTTAATTTTTTATATGTAAAATAAATACTATGTCACCGTAAAATGTAATGATGCAGTATTTCTGTTGTTATGATTGCATAATTGATTTCTACAAAATAGAGCTAAGTCATAGAAACGAGATAAATAAATGACTACACTATTCACTATATTGTATGATTAATACAATAAATTAATCACTAGCCCAAAAGTAAATATGGTAGGTTTAATGTGAGTAGTGGTAGAATTATAAGTACTGCAGTAGAATAGAATTGTCGTACTATATCAATTGGTAGCGAATTTACTCGTAAGATAAAATGTATGCACAGTTTTATAACAGCTGTAAGACTTCCCATTTAAGTACCGGTATCATTGAAATTGCATAACTTCCATTGACCAGAAATGAGATAAGTAGATATTGATACACAGATATATGAATTTTCATATGACGAATTCAAAAAAAGGTTTATCCGTCAAATGTTTTAAATATTATGTGAACTATCAATCATCAACTTTTTAAGCTATAATGGTGTTACTACAATGGTTAAAATTGTTTCCTGTGAAACATGTATTTTTTAAACTAAAAGAAGGTTTTCTTTTAGTACAAACCTTGCTCTTTTAGTGTATACGAAAAATAATTTCACTATTTTACGAGATCAATGTTTGACAACAAATGGTTGAAGTAGATATTCAGAGAGTTTCTCCAGCTGATGCAGTAATAAAAACGTATTTTAGCCATAGCATAGCACAGACAATATATAATACTATAATAGTAATCTATCTATCTATCTAAACTATTATAAAGAAGAGGTGGTGTCTGTGTGTATGTGTGTCTTGGTGTATGTGTGTCTATGTGTTTGTATGAGATAATCTCAAAAAGTACTGAACCGACTGGCTCAAATTCAAATTGCACGCAAATGAAGCTACAGCTCCGAGGATATATATTATCATTGACTATATAACACTACAGTAGTATTGTAGTGTTATATAGTCAATGATATTATACAACTATTCCCTCTTCGTTATTGTCCTAGGGCTCTGCTCCGTGGCCTTTCAAAAATTTGAGGTGAGAGATTTTAAAATATTGATTGATGGTATCCATGGTAACAAGAGCAAACCTACAAAATTTATATTTTTTTTAACAAGTATTTATTTACAATCTATTCTATACTAGAACAATAAGTAAATTTCATGACCATTTTAACATGGGTTAGAAACACTCCATCAAGTGCACTAACATACAAAAAATTTTAAAAAATTGAAGTAAAAACGATTTGGAAGGTCTATTGGATTAACTCTTTTGAGCCTATAGCTTCACTATTATCGAGGAGGTTAACTGCCAGGAAATTTGGATGGATTTCTTTGATATTTTTCACTTCGGTTTTTTATTTCTTCTCTAACATAGGGTAGTTTTGTATCTTGATGAATAACTTTATTTGTGACAAACCAAGGTGCTTGTAAAATCTTTCTTAGTGTTTTAGATTGAAATTGAACTATTTCTGTGTTCGAGTTTGAAGCGGTTCCCCAGAGTTGGATACCGTAGGTCCAAATAGGTTTCAATATAATTTTGTATAAAAGTAATTTATTTTCAACAGATAATTTTGAATTTCGACCAATAAGCCAATTTAGTTTGTTTATTTTTAAATTTAAATGAAGTCGTTTGTTCCAAATGTGTGAATGCCATGTAAGCCGTCTGTCAAGATGCATACCAAGGTACTTAACTTCGTTGGATTGTGGAAGCATTACATTATTCAATGTTACTGGGGGGCAAGTTCTTGTAGACATAGTAAATGTAACTTGAACGGATTTTGTTTCATTTACTTTAATTTTCCAATTCTGTAGCCACTGAGACAAATCGTCTAATGCAGCCTGAAGGTTTGATGATGCTAGAATAGGATCCTGATTTGATGACAAAAAAGCAGTGTCGTCTGCAAATGTTGCAACTGTAATACCCTGAGTACTTGGAAGGTCATACGTGAACAAAATGTATACAAAATAGGTCCAAGAACACTGCCTTGTGGTACACCTGATTCAATTTCATGTACATCTGTAACTACATCTTGATATTTAATTTGAAAAAAGCGTTTGGACAAATACGATTTCAACACTCCATAGTGTGTATGGGGCAGCAAAGTTTTAATTTTGAACAATAGTCCTGTGTGCCAGACTTTATCAAACGCCTGGGCTACGTCCAAAAAGCAGATGAACAAAAACGTTTATTTTCAAGATCTTCCTTGATTACATTCACTATTCTATGCACTTGCTCAATGGTGGAATGCTTTCGGCGGAATCCAAACTGATGGGAAGGCAACAATTCTTTTTCGTCAATTATAATTTGGAGTCTTTAAAAAAAAAGTTTTTCAAAAACTTTTGAAACCACGGGAAGAAGAGATATAGGCCGATACGAGGATGCTTGATTCAAAGGTTTACCAGGTTTCGGAATAACAACAATTTGTGAAACCACTGTATTGGGCACTGTATTGGGAAGTATTCGAGGCGTAAAACTGCATTGAAAAGTACTGTAAGGAATACTATTCCTTTTCTAGGCAGCTCTTTCAACACTTTACCTGTTATCAGATCATAACCGGGGGCTTTTTTGCCGTTTAAATCTTCTTTTATTACTTTAGCTACTTCGGATGGTGTAAACAATTTTATCGGTAAATCAAGTTGATTTGGAGAATCGAGGAATTCCAAAATTTCTTGTTTAACGTTTGAATTTATATTATATGGTTTGAACACTTCTTTGAAGTATGAAGCAAAGACATCTGCTTTCTGGATGTTGTTTTTGGCCCAAGAACCGTCTTCTTTTAGAATAGGCGGAATGCAAATTTGTGGACATTTTAAGTTTTTTGTAACTTTCCAAAGGGAGTAGTCACTAGCTTCAGATGGAGAAAGGTTTTATGTGAAATCTTGAAATCTCCCATTGTTTAATTTAAACAGTAACCTTTTTAGTTGTTGAGTGGCCCTGTTTAGATTTCTTTTATCCGTCTGATCTCTAGAGTTTTGCCATATTCTACGGAGTCGGCGTTTTTCGGAAATTTTCCTATTAATTTTAATTGGATAGCTTATTCCAGATTTTATATTAAGTTTATTCTGGTCTGGAGTTGCTCTCCAAGCGGAGTCTTGAACTGTTTTGTTGAAATGTTCAACAGCAAGATTCAAATCTTCTTCGCTCTTCAAACACACAGAAATCTTTAAATTTTGATTTAATAATTCACGAAAATAATTCCAATCTGTATTTTTGTTACATAAATGTGGTGGAATAGGTTTGAATATAACAGTTGAAGCGATCGTTAAAATTACAGGTGAGTGGTCTGAGGAAAGGTCCAGAGATTGCTCGATTGTCACACAATCTCGGGATACACCTTTCGTAACGAAAAAATCAAGAAGGTCTGGTATTTTTGACGATCAGAGGGCCAATATGTCGGTTCACCTAATTTAAATTTAAAAATGTAAACAACCAGACTAACTGTCAAATGAATTTTGATTTCACAATTCCACACAGCTGGTTCAAACATATTTAATAATGCACGAATATTAAAACAGAGAGGGTAAGGATTATAAATTAAAAATAATGATGTTACTAGCCCGAATGTAAACATTAAAAATAATGTTTACAGAGATTGCTCGATTGTCACACAATCTCGGGATACACCTTTCGTAACGAACCCGTACGAAGGACGGGTACTCTGCTAGTAACACAATAATACAAATACAGTATACTAATACAATAATACTGTAGGTTTCCGTAGTCTGTGGCCATAGGTTCGTCTGAACTGTCAATAAATTCTGAGAAATTCACAGTTGTAAATTCTTACTAGTCTTTTTCTAAGTTCACGTTGCACTCGCAATTAGTTCGGATATTTTATCTAGGAAAGCAGGTATGCCCTAAGTCATAGCATTTGTAGGTTAAGTATAATAATAAAAAACGTGCTTATCTTAGGTTTGTAGGCATACTTGTTCAAGAATATGCCGTTGTAGGTTTTGTTTATAAATTTTATTTTTTAATTCTTGTCTAATGACGATATTGATTTGTATTTGTGCGAAAATGTTAATTTATTTGTCAAGGACATGAGCGGCCCTCTAGTCTGTGTATGTTACATCATGGTTACATGAAGCACAACATGAAAAAGAATAAATTAAAGGAAGGTAAAAACGGATCAGTTGCTGAAGGTCTAAATCTCGGAAGGTCTAATCAGACCTTCGACACACATTTTGCAGTTTGTATGTGGTTTGTACTTTATGCTGAGGATCCCAAGAATCCTGTACAAAACAAAAAAAAGGTTTCATTCAAACTACAAGTTTATTACTTTTCCAAGAACCAGCCTTACTTCCGCTCCCACGCTAGTTGGCAACATGAAAACAATAAATCTTGAGTAATTATACTGTAATGTTGAATTTTGAGGCTGTGATGTTCCTTCGTAAACACATTCAATTAATCAATTACAATCTAAGAATATGTAAATTTATTGTTATACGTTAACTTTATTGGTATTCGATTTGCTACAGTAGGCCTACTATTGAAACCTATAACATTTTCAATTCATGTGCGTTGTATTTTAGAGTTGGGGAAACAAAAGAACCCTGTGTATAACTTATTTATATGATATTCTCATTGGTTGCAATTTAAATTAAATAAATTTAAATTTAGGGTTTTTTTGTTGCAGTAGTGTAGCAAAACACAAAGACAAAATTTATTGAAATAAAATTAAGTCAATGTTAAGTGAAGACTGTTAATAAACATATTTGCGACATAAGAACATTTAATTGAAGCCTATAAACAGTTCGAAAAAGGCATTCTATTCTTTATACTAGTAAAAATTAAAATGAGGGTATAAAAAATAGTTTTCAAAGATCATGTTGATCAATGTACATTCATCTAGTCTTGAAAAAATAAGTAATTAAAAGCTTACTCCAAACATAATGAAGTTTGTCGGTTGTTAACAAAATGTCATCATTTTTCAAACCATGTAAACCTTATAGTTTTCCAACTGTTGCTTTGTTTATTTTTTTTATGTTTTTTTTACTTTATGATGTTTCAGTTAATGGTACAAATATTCATAGTATATATATTTCTAAACAAGAACATATACCCATGTATATATAACTAATAAAGGTTCCATAAGCATTTTACACGAGAGAACACTGGTCGGCAAGTAGCCGGTCATCGTAACCGGTCATCATGAAGGAGCTTGGACGTCGTGCAACAGCGCTGAGCTATATTGGACGTCGTGCAACAGTCAAATATTTATTGGACGTCGTGGCACTTGGACGTCGTGCAACTGGCAGCGACTTTGGATGTCGTGCAAATGTTACTTTTTTACAATTCTATAGTGCGCTGTTTCACGACGTCCAAGTGCCACGACGTCCAAAGCTTGTAGAAAGACTATATTTTTGGCAGTTACTGTACTCTTGGACGTCGTGGCACTTGGACGTCGTGCAACAACTCAAAAATTATGTTTTGGACGTCGTGGCACTGAATAAATATTATTGGACGTCGTGGCACTTGGACGTCGTGCAATGCATCCGTTTTCTTCATGTTCTTCTTTCCTTTAAAGGCGCTGAAAAATAGTAAACAAAAACAGCATTCTTAGAAGTTGCTCAAACTTTGTATCCTGCAGTGACCCGTGTCATCCTTCTGACCAAATCAGGTATTTATTTATGAAACTACATAATATAGTTAAGAAACCATGCAATTAGATTTTAGTTTGAATTATTATTTTTTATTTTATCTAAACTCAACCTAAAAATTGCTACTCACTGGGGTTACTTTGTGACAGCTTGTAGTTGTCACAAAGTAACCCCAGGGTGTTTTTTTTCCGTTTTTAATACTTTTTGGTTGGATTTTAGGTTGTTATCCAGAATGCCACGTAAATATGTGAGGAAAATTGGGTCTAGACCCTACAAAAACTACACTGAAGCCCAACTAAATGAAGCTATCGAATTAGTGAAAGGAAAACAACTGTCTCTCAGACAAGCATCACAGAGGTATTAAACCCAGTACTGTATTTGTGTATTACCTAATTAGATCTATAGCATATAACAGCTACTAGTGTATACTGAAATTACAGTAATGTAGCCTGTACCTAACAATATGGTTTTGTTTTAGATTCAATATCCATAGAAACACAATTTGGTTGAAAATAAAAGCTGAAAAAAATGAAGTGAATAATCCGAATGGATTAAAATATTTCAAGAGCCCAGGTTCGCAGCCTGTCTTCACAGTTGACGAAGAAAAGAGATTTGTCGCCCACGCTATTGCAATGTCTACATACGGATTTCCAATCACCTCGTTTGATTTACGAAGTACAGTGAAGGCTTATCTCGATCGATGTGGGAGAAAGGTAGCTAGATTCAAAAATAACTTTCCTGGACTAGAATGGGCCTATGCTTTTATGAAGCGGCACTCTGCAATCATTTCCCAGCGTACTGCTAAGAATATAACTTACTCCAGGGCCTCAACAGATGAGAAGATAATTGACGATTATTTTAGTCACCTAGAAAAAGAAATAAGCGGCGTGGATCCAAAAAACATCTGGAACTATGACGAGACCAATCTTGTAGATGATCCCGGCAACAAAAAGGTGATAACCAAGCGAGGAGCAAAGTACCCTGAACAAATTCGCAATTCTTCAAAGGCCTGTACATCTTTGATGTTTTGTGGCAATGGTGCTGGGGAGCTAGCACCTTTATATGTTAACTACAAATCAGAAAAGCTGTGGACTACGTGGACCGAGAATGGGCCAGATGGGGCAAGATACAACCGGACTAAGTCCGGATGGTTTGACCACCAAGTGTTCGAGGATTGGTTTATATCCCTAATGCTTCCCATTCTAAAGAAACAGCAAGGCAAAAAAGTTATCATTGGAGATAATTTGAGCTCACACATAAATTTAGAGGTGTTGCGCTTATGCGAAGAAAATGACATAAAGTTTATTGCTCTTCCGCCGAATTCCACTCACCTTCTGCAACCTCTCGACGTTGCTTTCTTCCGACCATTGAAAGTCAACTGGAGAAAGATTTTGGGAGATTGGAAGATGAGTCCTTCTGGTAGCAAGTGTACCAATATACCTAAGGATGAATTTCCAGGTCTCCTAAAACATCTGATGAATGCCATGGAACCCAACATGAAGAATAACATGTTGTCAGGGTTTCGTAAGACTGGAATCGTACCTTTGAATAAGGAAGAAGTAACAGCAAGACTTCCAACGTCCACAGCAGAGAATCATTTGACATCGTTGACAGACTGTATCAGTAATGTGTTTTTGGACGAGCTAAAGAAACGAAGAGAAGAAGTGACCAAACCAAGTGAGAAAAAAAGGCGTAAGAAGCTAAATGTGCCAGCAGGAAAAAGCATTTCATCTGCAGACATTCTAGCACGACACGAAAATTCTAATGAAACGCATAGTGGTACTCGGAAACAAAGAGGAAACAATAAAACAAAAACACCAAAAACACCAAAAACTCATAAAAAAAGGAAAAGGACTTCAGATTTAGGCATTACCAGCGAGGAAGAAACCGACACAGATGAAAACTTCTCTCTCCAAGATTCTGACCAAAGCCTAATTTGGGATGAGAGGCTAAGCTCAGAAAATGAGGACGACCCTGCAGCACCTGCTGAGAACCCAGTTAGTGCTGAAAACTCTTCCCAAACCCCTGGAACAAGCACTCATGAAGAGCCTGCAACATTTTCAGTTGACAACTTTGTTGTTGTTAACTTTGAAGGTAAACTGTATCCAGGTGTTGTAACAGAAGTGTACGAGAATGGATATAAGGTTTCAGTCATGGAAGAGACCAAAAAGAATTGGAAATGGCCTAGCCGACCAGATGAAATATTGTATCAAAAAGATGAGGTTCTCTACGGTATAAATCCGCCCAAGCCAGTTGGTAAAAGGGGCGTGTTCTCCGTTCCAACACTCTTTCGCTGAACTCTTGTTTTAAAGTTTTTAAAGTTGTAATAATCTGTTACCTAATTAATTGTAATAATAAAGTAATTGGGGTAACATTGTGAAATTGTTCATTTTCCTGTTGTTTTATATGAAAAATAATTGTGTCACAAAGTAACCCCAGGCCCTGGGGTTAATTTGTGACATTTTATATATTTTATATTTATTTTATACAAATAGATAAAATTATGTTAACTGCAGCAGTGCGTTAATTGAGAGTGTAGGAACAGTTTGAGGTAGTTTGAAGTTAATCTGGTTCAATACATTGGCAGTAAAATGACAAAATGTCTTAAAACTGTCACAAAGTAACCCCAATCTACGGTATTCACTGAAAGTGATGACTCTACGGTAAACAATATAAACGAGGATTAGGTGAAAGTTTATGTTTCGTGGATCAAAAATATAGATATAGATGTGTGGAAGACACATGGCTTACATGGACTCTACATGACAAGGATTTGATTAGTTCAAAAGGAATGTGACTGGAGAAAATTGGAAAGTCAAATAAACCATGTATAACAACAAAAATAAGTAAATAAAACCCTTAGCTTTGAGTACAGTAGACGATGTTCTCTATCCCTAATACTGTAAGGAGAGAGTTCTCTTCTTCAAAAGGCGTATCTACTGTAGATAGGTGGATTTCACTGCCAGTTACGGCACCCTTTGAAACTTTTCTCTGACCACTTCACCAGCTTTGTCAAATGACTAAAATGTCACATTTACAGGGGCGGACTGGCCCGCCGGCCCACCGGCCGGAGGGCCGATGCGCCTTCTCAACATTCCAATATTTGCGCCCTCGTTAGAGGAAAAATTCATAAAAAGATTTTAAAAAATGAGACGAGATGTATTTTTTTGAAAGCAAGAGGAAAAACTTAGAGTTAAAGTTTCAGCAGTGAATAGCAAAACATAAAGTCGGGTGTGAGACCTGAATAGACACTGTCGACAAGCGAGAGCAAAGCAGCTCTTCTCTCTCGTACGTGTAGGCCTACTCCGAGTGGAAGGCACTTCCTTTACTCTGTGGTCTGAGCAAACAGCTGTCCTCTTCCCGCGTCATTTTACGCCGATCCCGAAAAAAACTGCACTGCGACCACGAGTACTAGAAAAATGCCGGTATGGATCATAAACATAAACAAATTACGTTTTTGGCCCGAAAATAAACATTATTTAACATTGCTTAAATGGAACTGCCAAATCATATGTTCAATGCTCAGTATAGGATTCGGGCCAACAACGTCATTTGTTTATGTTTGTGATCCATACCGGTATTTTTCTAGTATTCGTGACTGCAACTACATCCGACATCGGTCGGTGTCACGATGTCGTCTGTGGTAAACAACTAGTGAAGATAATTTAATATTATTCATATTTTTGTTATAATATTTAATTATTGCTCACACTACAACTATTTCACTTTAAGTCACATTTAATTTTATTTATATCAACTCAACTCTCTTGTAAAATGGCGTTTGCCGTGCATGTAATAAATAAATAAAGAGTGTATAAGCCAGTGGCCAGTGCCAATTAAAATGTGACTCTCTTTAGTGAGTGTCTGATTTGTGTCTCTGTGTCGAAAGCTTCAATTTATTTTTATATTCTTTACCTACACAGGAAACATGAACGAAAGCAGTATTGTAGAATCACTACTTTTACAAAATTTAAATAGATTTAGTGACAGTGTATTTATTTGTTAACTTAACCATTACACAGTAAAGGTTAAACAGTAAACAGTATTTTAATATGTGGCTACTTTACTTTACTTTACTTTATGTGGTCAACTTTCCTATTTTACTTACAGATAGCCAGCCTAAAATACCTTCTTAGTTCTCTCTAGGCTATTTCGTTTGTAGAAATAGGTTAGGTAGGCCTACTTTAGGGTTACAGTTTTGACTTAATGTAATGCTAAAAAGTTTAAGTCAATAAATTGATTGTGGATGTAGCCTCCGGATTGCCAAATAATATTAAAAAGGTTTAAATACCTGCTATTAAGCAATCCATTTAATTGCAGTTGCAACTAGTTTCGACTCCTATGTGGAGTCATCATCAGGCGGTACAAGGACGTCTTCTTTCTTCACACGAAGAGCGTCATATTTAACAAATAAAAATAAAAAAACATTTACACACGACACAAAACACGTTACGGACACGAAACATTTACTGATCAAATGTCAAATGTTACTGGACTTAAACTCCGTCGGGTTAGCGTCGTCTGTTGTCGTAACTGATCAGTAAATGTTTCGTGTCCGTAACGTGTTTTGTGTCGTGTGTAAATGTTTTTTTATTTTTATTTGTTAAATATGACGCTCTTCATGTGAAGAAAGAAGAAGTCCTTGTACCGCCTGATGATGACTCCACATAGGAGTCGAAACTAGTTGCAACTGCAATTAAATGGATTGCTTAATAGCAGGTATTTAAACCTTTTTAATCAATAAATTGGTTTTGTTCACAGTGAAAGCATATTGTTTGTGTTAAAATAATTTCATAGAAATCTAAAATATATAACTTCTGTTATTTACAGTGCCAAAAAATACAACAGTTGCAAGTTCATGCTGTAAACAGGAAGCAAATGATTTATATTGTATGCATGCAGCCAAGCCATGCAAGGGAAAACAAAGAAAATACACAAATATAATACGAAAGAACCTACGAAAATCATTTGTATTTTTATTTTTGTTAGGATATTTACTGTCAGAATAGCACCAAGTCGTGTGGGTAAATAGTCTAAATTTTGTAAACCAAACATTAACCAATAGTGTCAGTTATCAGATTTCTGATTTTCCACTGTTAATGCCTCTAGATTGCCTAAAAATGCGAGTTTACAGGTATAATTTTTAAAAAATGGCCCGGGGGAGGACCACAGGGGGGTATTCCATACCCCCCAGACCCCCCGGTTGGCGCCTTCGGGCTGGTCAAGGTTTACGCCCTAATAGAGTACCCAGTCCGCCCCTGCACATTTAATCCTACACAGTCTGCCTTTTATTTTTAACCTTTTAATGCTTTCCTTAATGTTTTATGATGAATAAAGGGTTTGTATTCATTGTTTAGTGTTAACCTTTTTTTATTTTTTTTATTTTTTATCACTACAGTACTACCACCCAGTCAACAAAAAGGATAGTATTAGAATTAGATTGTATTTCAGATGCACGTTGTCCCAAAGGGGAGTCGATGATCAATAAATTACAAAATAAAGAACAAACGTATTACCATCAATAAAAAAATATCTTTTTAATCTTGACATTTTTTAATTCAACTTATAAGGAACAGTAGTCATTTTATGAGTAAATTATACATTAAAATGAATGTTTTAGTTTTTCCATCAATTTGCTTTTATACATGTTTTAGGTACAAAGAGAATAACGACCAATCAAGTAAAATGTTAGGAGAATATTTGTTAGCTGCAACAAATAATTTGTTTTGTAACTAAATATTATAATTTAATCTACACTTATTTTA